GTGAACTGCTGCTGGTCTGGTGGAAGGTGTCCCTGCCCATAGCAGAGGGATTGGAACCAGATGATCTTTAAGGTCCCTTCCAGCCCAAACCATCCTATGATTCTGTGATCAGTGATAGCACTACAAGTGTGGTACAGAACTGGACAGTGACAGCTTAGATACCTAGCTCACATCTGACTGTTGGTTTTCACTCTGATTATAGGTTTAGCTAAAGCTTAGCCTTACAAAACTAAATTCAGTGAAAAATTGGATGGGAGGAAGAAATGATCTTTTGCCACCTTTGTACTGTAAAAGCCCAGTAGTACATAACTGTTAGTGGTGATCCTAAGAGGCATATGCAGATTAGCCTACTAGCTGCTTACAAGTGCACTTTGCTTACTCGGAGTAACGTGCTTTTGAACAGAATCCCCTTCTTCTTCAGTGTTACAGTGTTTCTATGAGCAAAATTTAATAATATGTAGAAAAAGGGAGTAACTGTAGTCTTGGAATTGTATTTTTATTGGATATATTTATGTGACTATCATCATCAGGTTTTGCAATTACAATTTACAGTCATGTAGCTGGAAGCTATGATTTTTCTTTGCTTACTTATCAATTAATAAATTGCAGAGGGCGTGTAAGTCCATTTGCTTTCGTTCTTGTGTTTTCTTTTTTCAGCTCATACCCTTAACTAAAACCAAAAAACGAGTAAGAGTCTTTGTTAATCTTTTTCTTTATAAAACCACTGAATAGCACTTATTTGGCTGATGGCTGAGATTCTGTACTCCCTAATCTGCTGCTGTCCATGATGGAGGAGGGAACCTCCTGAGGGATGTCTTCTTGTCAGCACCATCTTATTGACTGGCATTTTCACCACCTCTGGATTATGCCTGGCCTTTGTTGGAGAGAAATGAAGAATATAGCTTAATCCACAGTTCTGAGATGCTTCACATAGGTTATTGTGCCATTTTGTTACATATGTTGTGGTAGGTTGTTTTGCTGTGTTCTTGAAAATATTACCTGTTGAATATACTAGTTCTAGTTGAGGAGATGGAGGACTGAAGGAGGCTCTTTTGAGACACATTGTTTTTGCAGGAAGGTCTGTTTCAGCTTTAAAAGGAATAAACTTTATTGTTATGCCCAGGCCTCCAGCTCTTAGGGGATGCTGTATGTTGTCAAGTATTCACCCATTTTTGGGGGGTTTTGCCACCTACTCTTCTGCATCTTCACCTTTCTTGCTTGTAGCAGTGAGCTCCAGCAATGCCTGTTGAACCAGGAGAGACAGAAGCTCAGATGAACCAAATTACTACTGTTCTTGCTGTGCCCTGAAGAGAAGTTTTCCTCTTGCATTGAAGGAGATTATAAAGTAGTGTCTTCTCTTTCTCTCTTCTCCCTTCCCCCAGCCAGCTGGATGGTCATTCTTTTGCTGCTATAGTACTGAGCTTTTCCCTCGCAGCTGGAAAATGCTGTGTCACTAGCAGGAACACAAGCACAGTTCTTCTTGCCAGGGGTCTCCCACACAGGCGTTGTGTAGAATTCCAAGACACAGGGATGAGTGTATTTCTCTGAACAGTAGGCTAACAGCTCCAGATGAAACACTGGTGCCTGGATGTGATGAATAAATTAAAATTTTCAACAATTTTTTTGCACTAAATTTTCATCTTCCTAAATTGATCTAAGCATTGAAAATCAAAGAAAACAATGATGTCACTCTTTACTGACCTACATTAACAGAGCAAAGGATGCAGACAAATTTCAAAGAAGGAAGTCCAAACACCATGTACTATACCTTTGAGCTCTTCAAGTTTTTTTCCCCCACATCTTGTAAAAGGAGACATAGTTTACCATTTGTCTTTTATTAAAGGCCAGTTATGTTTTTACCAGCATGTTATAAACTGTGTGTGCTAAGGGGATCCTTGTTTAGAAAACAGCCTTTCTGGACCCATAAAAAGGTGTCAGAAGGTATAGGAAATGCTAGCTGAGTCAATATATTTAAGTACCATTTGTCTTTCCGAGGGAGTGTGACAAAGTGATTCTGTCCACAGCTTTATTAGCCGAATTATGCTGTTAAACCAAATTTTCAAATCACGCATCTTAAAGGGCTGTTATAAAAAATGAGCTTCTTTCTTTGAAAATGGATGGTATTGAACTAGTGAAACAGTAATCTTAATTCATTAGTGCACATATATTAATGTGGACCTTTTCAGTGCTATTTTTCAGTAGAGCAAATATTGGGGGGGAGGGGGGGGCAGAAACGGAATGGTCTCCTCAAGTTCACCTGGTAAGAGGAGGGAAAAAAACTTATAAAGTGTGAAATTTTCAATATTGGGGAAGGATTTGCCTCTCAGTACAAGTGATTTTATGCCAAGAATATTAACATTTCTTATTTCAGATAATGTTCTTCAAGCTTGAAAGCTGCATGTAAATAAAATTTAGGAGGAACTGGAGCTTAAGCTTAACTTGGAAGAGAGGTAAACTTTTAATTTATTTTCCCCTTCTCTACCCAAGGCTAGCAATACACTTGCAGATCTGTGCTTCACTGAAAGATGACTGATTTCTGCTCGGTCAGGTAGGGAGAGAAGTGTAAGCTCACAGCTGTCTGTGAAAATGAGCTTCCTCTTTAATTTGATATAGCATTTTCCAAGATTATCTAAGTGATTCCTTAACATTATGTTGTCTGAACATGAGGATTTTTGCTGCTTTCTTCTCTAATTTGTCAAATTCCAAATTAACTAAAATTTTATATGAGTCCCCTGACTATTTTTTTTTAAGTGCATAGAAGTATCTCTGATCTGGGTAGGTGAATGAATCTTACCTGTACCTAGGTGCCTATATTTAATCTGATTGTCTAGACTCCCTTAACAGACCATGGAGATGCAGTCAATTGTGTTTAGAGTGTAATTGGCAAAAAGCAGATATTTGCTCTAAAATGAGATGGATTGCAACTGACTCAGAGGCTGAGGTGACTTGCCTTAGTTTTCTCAATAATCTTAATGATCCTTGTAGAAGCAACACATGGATCTGTGGATGTAAGTCTGTGGATCAGAAGCTGCAGATAACTGGACTAGACAACAGATGCCAAGCTATTCTGATGTTCTCATGTAAATTTTCAGTTCTCCTGAAGAAACCAGTAACTGTCACTTCCACCTGCTTCAGCCTGAGTTTTTCTTAAGGATGGGTAACCAGGGTTGAACATAATACTGCAGAAAAAGTCACACCATCCTGAAACATCACTTACTCTTTTTCCTTCACACTGTCACACTAGTGATTCATAATGTCCCATGATTGACTCAGGTATCTGGATCATCATCCATTTTATAATTTCCAAACTGATGAAACCTGCACTTACAGGAAAAGTCACTGTCGTGAAGACTTTGCATCAGCTTCTGTTCAATTTCAACGTAATTCTACTGTTCCAGTTTTCAAAAAAGAAAGTTATGGGATACTGTAATCCTCCTCTCTATCAGTGATGCATCTATCTTCTTGCATCAGCAAACTTCCCTGGCACTTGGGTTTCCTGGTTTGTTTTTTTTTACGATCAACGTCACTGGTAAAACCAGTAAGCTAGGCAACTTTCAAGACACTTTCAATTTCTAAGTTTTACTGAAACGTTTGGACCAAAGTAATGCAGAACTGTGGTAAGGGGAGAACAATTTCATCAAGGGAAGATACCAGCTGTACCTTTCGTGAGCATAGATTGAATTTTAAATTTATCTATCTTCATTGTTTACAGAACATTTAATACTCCTTGAATTCTGAGTCTCGAGAAAAACTGTCATTCCTAGGGAGAAAACATTTCTTTCAGACATTTTCTGCTCAAAAGTTAAAAGACAAAGTGCTAATCACCTGCCTCAGCCATCAGGGATCAGCCATGCAGGACAGACAGGAAGCTAGGACTTGGCTTTGACAATTTGGAAATTGAATGCTGTCTCAGTGTTAACACTATAATTAAGGTGCGTGTGATAGAACCCCACACTAGTTTATTTCTTATGATGTACAGATAATCTTGCCTTGTAGGTGAACTGGTTCTGGCTGCTGTGTATTGCAGTCTCATGCCTCCTGGACAGCAAGGTTGTTAAAACACCTCTGTGCCCAATTAGTGCACTATCCTGAGTGTACTCCTTGCATCTTTGTGCTCTTAGCTTCGGTTATACCAGAATGAGTGATGCATTGAAAATCTTTATTAGCTATTACTTAATGTCTGCTTGTATTTCAAGGCTTGTTTTGTTTCAATCTGGATCCAAAAAATTTGAAAGCATTTCAGTTCTTCTAACTGTTTTTCTGTCCATTACACTTGACTAGGCTTCAGACAAATACGTTAAGTCTGATAGAATGATGTGTACCTGGAAATAATAGTAGCATGTTAAGATAACAGGAGATTTGTGCTTCCCCCCACTTTTTATGAATTCTTTGATAGTACAAACCACAATATGGTCCTACTTTAAGCATTAAGTTAGAGATTCAGCACACGAGGGCATGATTCCAGTGAATACACTGCAGAGATAGATTGCTTTTTTCTCTTGGTACTGGTGTTATTCATGCACGGTTTGATTTCTTCCTACTTTCATATGGTACCACAATGGGCAGTTAACTTCATGCTAAAAGCAGAACTTTGGGGGAGATGACATTATTTTGGCAATTAGAAAAATCATGTCATCTGAGAGTTGTGCTGTGAAATACCTCTTGTTTTTTCAAATAAAAGTGCTATTGCAAAGACTACAGGATTTGCTTTTGTAAAAATGTTTTGTAAAAACTGCTCCAGTAAACTTTTAAGAAATTCTTATTTGGGATCAGATTTCATCATCATTTCTTCCTGGCTTCAGCTGTGAGCAGCTTTGAAAGCAGAAGTTTCTGAAATTGTGTAAAAGCAGCAGTTTCCTTTGGCACAAACTTTTCAGTATGATTAATTCTGAAGAGTGGATTTCTGTGATCATGTGACTGCCGTAGCTACAAGTGATTTGTATTATTTTCCAACATGAGTAATAAAACGTCTTTTTTTCTCAATGTCTTTCCCTTTTCAGATCCAGCTGTGGGATACAGCAGGCCAGGAGCGCTTCAGAAAGAGCATGGTGCAGCACTATTACAGGAATGTACATGCTGTTGTGTTTGTGTATGATATGACAAACATTGCCAGTTTTCACAGTCTGCCGTCGTGGATAGAAGAATGCAAACAACACCTTCTTGCCAACGATATACCACGGATTCTTGTTGGAAACAAATGTGACCTGAGAAGTGCTATTCAGGTACCTACGGACTTGGCCCAGAAGTTTGCTGATACTCACAGTATGCCGTTATTTGAAACCTCTGCCAAAAACCCCAATGACAATGACCATGTGGAGGCCATATTTATGACACTGGCTCACAAGCTTAAAAGCCACAAGCCGTTAATGCTTAGTCAACCCCCAGATCGCGATGAAATACATATAAAGCCTGAACCTAAACCTGCCATGACATGCTGGTGTTAAATCATACAGCTGTCAGCTGTCACCCTGTCCTGTTTGCAAATGCTTCAAAATTATGATCTTGGCAAAGTTCTAGGTTTTGGTAGCAATTATAGCGAATCTCTTTGGCACTTTAATGTGGGGTTTTTTTAATTTCCTGGTGTAGATGTGCCCATCTCATGTTTTTGCACTTTGTAATTGTACTTTCAGAATTACTGAAGTTTCACTATAGATATACGGGAAAGTAAACTTGCAAGTGAAGTTTTGACAAAGCAATTCTACTTGAGCTCTTGCTGCCTGAGATTGTTTTCATCACTTGGTAAGGTTATAAATAGTAAGCCAGTTTACTAATATTTTTTGGTTGCTACTTGCATTTGAATATTGTTGGAGAAAAGTGTTTAGTGACAGCCAGATAGCTTGATTTTGGGGTCAGAGAGGGAGAGGTTTTTGGCATATGGAGGAATATTTGGTGGCTGCTAGCAAATTGCTAAGCAAGTACCTTTTGTTTTAAAAATAAACCCCAGGACTGTCAGGTGAAGTTTGGGCTGTCAGTGTAGGAGCAAACTGGTAGCTTTTGGCCTGTCATTCCACTGTAAACTTTGTCTGTTCCCTTATGCAATGGTAAGAGAGTTGAGAAACTTGTCCCTACCTCTAGATACTTAAAACTTCATTATCTTTTTCATGATTAGCATGTAAAACTAAACTATGCATTCCTTCTTATGGGAAGTACTGTAGCACAGGACTTACGATAAATTTGGGACTCCTCTGACCTTACTAAAAGTTCAGTGAGGATTTATTTTTAAAGATGCTGTATTTGAGTTGAGTCCCAGGGTAAGTAAAAACACTTTGTGAAAGACGTGAGTGAGGTCGGCAAAAGCATGCTGGTTTTCAAGGATAGGGGTTTCAGAGGATTTTGGTGATGATGAATGCTTCTCAAATACCTTGAAAAAGGTTTTTACAACCAATGTTTTAAGGATGAAAATGTTTAGGACAGAATGAAATACTTCCGAATACAAAATAACTTAGATCTTCAAATACAGAAACAATCTGCCCGATACATCATCTGTTTTACAGATTTTTGAGCTAAAACCTGCTTGTGTAATGTTATGGCTGAATGTGGGGCATCTGTGACATTACTAATGTGAGTTGGTATTGTGTTGGGTCAGAGGAGGGAAGTTACTCCTCTAGAACCACCTTCTGTGTTCTCATAACTGTAGCTGGTTTATATTCAGAAGGTCAAGTTTCATAATAAAAACGGTGCTAGGTTGCACGCACTTACATAGGGGAAATGTAAGCCATAGAATGCAGTCTATGACTTCATTCCTGTGCCATGTCAGACAACGTTTTCTGGCTTAGTTTTTGAAGGAATTGAAATAAAATTTAAGATGTTTTTGTATGCAGTGCTGACAGGAAACTAAGTGGAAGGGCCAGTTCAGAAGCTTGCCCTTGCGATCACATTAGAAGCAAATCCCTGAAACAAGATAACTAATACTATTTAAACTATTACAGTTAATAATATGTAATTCTATTGCAAGTTATACTGAAGGAAGAAAAATGCATTGACTTTTTTCTAGATTGAAAGCATTCAACTTGGTCTCATATGATTAAAATATAAAGCTGCTATAACCGTGACAGTGATTTTGTTTAGGACACATTTGTAAAAGGGAATTTTTGTATTCACTCTGAACCTTATATGACTAGAGTTTGGTTTACAGTCCTTTCAGAAACAATCAGCTTTTTAACACTAGTGTCCTTAATGATTTTTTAAGAAAAGGATTAATCTTAAATTTATGTGTATACTGTTGTAAATAAATATGGTTTACAGTCCTCTTGGACAATTTGTTTTTCACTCATGTCCTTAATCCTTTTTCTCAAAAGGATCCATCTTAACTGTCTGTATGGTATGTCAGCAAACATTTTCTTTTTTTTCTTTCTTTCTTTTCTTTTTTTTTTCTTTTTTTAATTAAAAGTAACAGAATGAAGAATTCCAAAGTCAGTCAGTCAGGTTGGGGGTCAAGGTAAGAAAATTATGTAGCTACAATGTTAAATTTGATGTCAAACATCTGCAAATCTGTTAAGCTTTATTTGAGTTATTCACAACCTGTAAATAAGGGCCCTCATGTCATTAGACTTGTGTGGAAACAGTGTTTAAATATGTAATTTTGTCTTCAGTGCAAAGCATGTTTCAGTGGTTCTTCCGTAAGGGTAATGTGGTCAGTAATGCAGGATTCAGTATGCTTCCTGGCTTTCAGTGGTAACGTGCTGCCCACGACATTGATGTAAAATGTACTGAATACTTTGTCTATGTATTTTCACCTTACCGAATTGTGAAGTTGGGTCATTTTCTATGTGTTGGCGGGGAGGGCAAAACACAATCCCAGAAACCTAATAAACTGGCTTTGCCACAAACTGTTGTCACTTGTTCTCAGTAATTATCCTAGGAATGACGATACAATTTTTTAATGGTAAAATCCATTAAAATACTATAAGGGAGAAAAAAGAGTTTCTAGTTTCTGTTTGTGTGGGTGACAGTTGTGTAGAAGACTGTCATAATACCGTCAGTGCTTTCTTGCCATGGCTCTGAGTTGTTTTGAAGCATCTGAAGCACTCACCTGATGATTCAGAGGCATGCTTGGGATTTATTTCGGGTCGCAGAAAACAGGGAAGTGATATGACAGTTATAAAACTAGGAATTACTGACTTGAAGGTATGGCAAGACCCTAAAGGAGTCTTCTCCATTACTCCTCTTACTCTTACCTCATGTGCAACGAAGTTGTGAGCCCTTGTGCAAAACTAACACTAGCTGTTTCACCGGACTGCTCAGGAGGGAAGCAGTATTCAGCTTGGAAAGGCAAGAGGCCAACATTCGAACTCCAGATGTGCCCCAGTATTCATGCAAATACTTGCTGCACGTTAGAGTTTTCCTTGGGGTTTGGGTTTTTTTTATGTCTCGCGTCTTCCTCATGATGCTATAGTTAAGCAGCATCAAAATACACAGGGTTTTTTTGCATATGCTGTGATCTCCCAAAAGCAAAAACTGCTGATCCAATACAGGATCTAATGTACATAGTCATTAAAGAATTTGAAAGATGAAATTGCTCCACCATTTATAAACCAGTAATTTTAAAAGACAGCTTTCCGGGTATAGTGAAAATATATAAAGCCCCCTAGTGAAAGTAGTATCTTTCACCTTCACCTTATTTAATCTCTAAAATATGGGTTAATGATCTAAAAAATCAGTTAAGCTCTGACTTTGATGGAAGGGAGTAAGGTTGGGAGTCCATACAGGAAAGAGGTGAGAGGCAGCCCTGCCTCCTCCACCTCCGCCCTCTCTAACCTTCATCACCTTCACCTGTGACTCATGGGGGCTTTCCCATGCAGAATCAGCAAAACTGAGTAGCAGAAAAGACATTGCAACCGTTTTCCTTCAAACACCGTAGCTTTGCATAAAGACAGAACTGAGCAGTGTAATCCTCGCTCCTAGACCAAAAATTGCTGGGTTTGTGTCTGTCTCCCATGATGTTTGCTCACGCACTGGGAGGACAGCTCCTCTCTTTTACAGCTGGTCATAGACTCTTGTTACCTATATGACACACAATTGTCATCTTTAAATCGTAACCTTGTACTAACATTTTCCCTGACTGATCATCTACTAACTTGCTGCTTTTATACATTCATTGGAAGTCATATTCCTTGTCCCCTTTTGGTGAAGATTTTCACTTCCACCTGAGTACGTAGTTTTAATAGTTTTGGGGTTTCTTCCTCCAGAGTCCTGCTTTTACAGGACTACCTTGATTCCCAGATAAAAAGTAGAGCCACATATCATTTTGAAGTAGTAGTAATGTTACTTCTACAATGGGAGCCTAGTTTTCTATGCAAATCAACACAAAACCTACTTGTAATCTTAAATCTAAAGTTGCAGATAACGTTAGAAATGGCCATTATTCTAGGACTCACAAAAACCCCACTGTTTTGAGTTCGAGGGGCTGGGGTTTTTTCTCATCTCTTGGCAGTGGATGCCTGAAGGAGGCTTCTCATTCATCTGGATGAATGGTGCCATCAGTGGGGGCTGTGAAGCGACATTGAGAGGGAAAGAATTGCTGCTGGTTCCCAGTGACGTCCTGGGACCCGCTGGGCTCTGTACAGCCTCCCAGCTGCAAAACCAGTGCTGCAGAGGCTGACACCTATTGAAGCACTTGCTGAAGGCAGCTCCTTGTAGTTCAGGATGATATTGCCAGAGCCCAAAGGCAGGCATGTAAAAGTTTCAAGCCATCCAGGGACACCCAGTGGGTTGCATAATCCTGCTCTGTGTATTATCTACATGCACTGCCTTTGCAGAAGCACCACCAGTTAACATGAATCTTGAATGACAGAATACTTAGCTAATCATTCAGAATGAATGAAAAGCAAATTTCCCAGCAATACCAATGATCATTTCAGAAACTCAAAATCCTTGCCCTGCCCTGCTCTTCTCAGCTCTGAAAAACAACCCGAAATGAATGTAATGTGACAGAAGCCTGGGGACTGAAGTACAATGGTGATCACTGACCATAAACATGGCTTGTAGTTGCAACTGAGAACAAGAATGTCAGATAGAGTCTCAGGCTGAGTAGTGCAGATGCTGACTGTATCTTAGTACCAGCAGAAGGGGTCCAGGCTTGGGCTGTGCTCACCTCAGTGGAAACAGCTGTTCAGTGCCTCTAGCTACATCAGCAATAAGCAGCTTCACCTGCCCTTGGCTCAGAAAGCAACCAAGCAGACCGGTATTAACCATTCAAAACAAAGTAGCCTGCTCTTTTGTTCCCAAAATTAATAAAAAGGTGAGGGGTCCTGTCTGCTTGCATCTTATTTTGAAACCTGTAGGGTGCACTTGGATCTCACAGTTTGTGTTTCCATTAAGAGATGGAGTCTGAAAACAGACAATACTGCTGTTGTTTCAAAATGTTTAAGTAAAAACCCCTCCAGAATCTTCAGGTAGTTACTTGCTCCTGGAAAATCAAGGAAAAGCAACTATATTTGACAAC